TCAAATTCTTGATACATTTAAACCAGGATTCGAGACAGATTATGAAACAGCGTGAGCAACACCAGACGTAAGCCTCAGGTAGCGAATATCAACTCTGAAAGGTTCGACATATTGAAGTGCTTGTGTGTGATTTGAACCGGGATTCGACTTAGGATACGAAGCTTCATAACCAACACACAACAATGAAACCATGTTCACAAATTCGAGTCATAAGGTTTCGAAACATTTCTATTCTTGGCTAGTGGTTCAAAACATGATTCGAACCAGAAACCGAACCCCAACTACCAAACCCTCAATACACAATACACCATAAGGGAGTCACACCCCAACTTCATAACTAATTCATAAAGGGTTACGCATCAACATAGCCTCCTCTGCCAGAACAAGTTTCCTGCCCAGGTAATCGTTCAATAATTAACCACACCGAGGATTATATTACCACTGTAGGTTTTTGAATCGATTGACTCCTGTGATGACCGATCCATTACAACACTATTACTAATATATCTTTAACTAAACTCTAACAAACTAGGACTTTATTAACCTAACCTAACCTGACTTAAGCGCGCAACATGGCTAGTTAATGACACTATTCCCTCAACAATTTAAAATTGCAAGAGAACTATATATATATATTTTTTAGTATTACATCAACATAATTACTGCCAACATAAGAACAATATTACGAAAGAGAAACAATACATACAGCTCTAATAGTCCAACCCAACCCACCAAACCTAACCTAACCAACCCAGTCCAGTTCAGTCCAGTCCAGTCCAACCCAGATCAGTCCAGTCCAACCCAGTCCAACCCAGTCCAACCCGCCAATCCTAACCGAACCTAATGTAGCCAAAACTATCCCATGATTGTCAGGTTTAATTACTTCAGGTTTGGTTAGTTCAGGTTAGGTTAGGATAGTTTAGGTTGGGTTAGGTTAGGTTCGTTCAGGTCAGTTCAGGTTAGGTTAGGTTAGGTTAGCACTATTTTCTAAAGTCATCCCAAACTCAATATATTTTTTTTCAGACTGCTACAACTTTTCCCTCAAGATGCTAATGATGACTAATTACCAGTGGTCTTCATCCCAGGACAATTATGCCATAAATTTACTCTTAATTGATGACGTCATAACGAGCTGACGTCATAACGAGCTGACGACATATTTTACGTCATTAAGTATGATATCTTTACCAGGTGACGACAATACTATATATAAAAAAAATGGATCACCTAAAGATTAGACACCCCAGTTTATTTCACCTGAAGATTAATCACCCTAACGCTACCTGGGGGAAGGGGGGGGTTAGGTTATGATAGGTTAAGGGATAAAGGTAGAGGTGGTTAAGTAAAGGTAGGTTAATAAGGTAGGTTTAGGTTATGTTAGGTCAGGTTCTATTAGGTTCTATGCATTGTCGTTTCCATTTTTGTGTTTAATATCATATTAGTGTGCAGGACAAATTTCAACCAATTCAGACAATTCCTTCTGGTGTCACCTTTTTCTATACCTTTATCAGGTTTGGTTAGGTTAAGGTAGGTTTGGTTAGGTTAAGGTAGGTTTGGTTAGGTTAAGGTAGGTTTGGTTAGGTTTAGGTTAAGGTAGGTTTGGTTAGGTTAAGGTAGGTTTGGTTAGGTTAAGGTAGGTTTGGTTAGGTTAAGGTAGGTTTGGTTAGGTTAGGTTACGCTTCAGGTGACAAACAGTGAGGATGGAAAAATCTTGACGTGATCTGTTTTCTTACCCGTTGTTCCTAATTGTTTACTCTCTGGCTACCGTCAACACACGTATTCCTCCCAGCTGGTCTCTGTCTGTGTCCCTATCTACAAGTAATTATTTCCTTGAGGCGAGAAACTACACCACACACCATAACTCTCCTCTTCTTCTAACTAAAAATATCTTCTGTTTACGAATATGACGAACATTCATAGTGGAAAATTAACACCAACAAAACACTACTAGAGTTACAATGGTGCTGATATTCTCTACTTGGCAACTTAAACTGACTCCACTTACGAGCGATAGATGGCGCTGAGATACGAGAGAGAGCGTGGGAGGGACTGAAGCTTTTTCTGAGGTTTGAGTAAATATTTGATGATTCCGGGATAGCTGAAAGCAGATGTTTGTGTTCGCTGTATTATAAGTCGCCATTCGGTCTAGTTTTATTTTGTTTCTGTTCATCTTTTTCTATAAATTCATCTATGTTTACACTGCAAGTATTTCATTTACACTCGTCTGCACTTTTACAGCAATAACAATAAAAAAAAAAACACCACTTGATGTTTGACACTGGTTTCTGGGAAGTGACAAGGTTAGAATTCAATTTTGTACAACTCATAAACGGTATGTTATTTATTCAACCAATTTCCATGAAGCTTAAATGTAAGTTCTTGTGAAGTGTATACATAAAAATAACACTGAAATCCTTGACGCTCTGGATTAAAACATTCTTCAATATATAATGTTGGGATCACCTGAAGCTCTCGGCCCCTCCCCAGCCTATTTCACCTGAACATTTAACACCCTAACAGTACCTGCAGGATTTAGGTTTGGTTATGGTGAGGGTGGTTAAAATTCAGGTGAAATGAGCTTGGATGACTAAACCCCTTGACGACAATGATAATCTCTTGAGTACGATGACTTAACCCCTTGAGTACGATGACTTAACCCTTGAGTACGATGACTTAACCACTTAAATACGATGACTTAACCCCCTTGAGTACGATGAATTAACCCTTAAATACGATGACTTAACCCCTTGAGTACGATGACTTAACCCCTTGAGTACGATGACTTAACCACTTAAATACGATGACTTAACTCCTTAAATACGATGAATTAACCCCTTAAATACGATGAATTAACCCCTTAAATACGATGACTTAACCCCTTAAATACGATGACTTCTCCCTTGAGTACGATGACTTAACCACTTAAATACGATGACTCTACCCCTTGAGTACGATGACTTAACCCCTTAAATACGATGACTTAACCCTTAAATACGATGACTTAACCCCTTGAGTACAAATTCTCTTTAATATGATAAACAAGACGCTCCAATAACACTACAGTCAACCGAACACTAAAGATGAACATTTATAAAACAAGAAACATTAATAGTTTAGTTGGCACATCATATATAAACCTAACCTAGCATAATATGTCAGTTACCCCTCTTAAATCACAAGTTTTCTTTAATAAAAGGTAAACAACATGAGACCACCGCCCCTCCTCCGGCCAGGACCTCACCAGACCCGAGCAGCGTAATCAGTCAGGCTTGGGAGGGGGAGGGGCAGGCCCTGGTCTTTTGTCACAGGTAACAGGTCATTTTTGTGGCAATACTCGCAGGATGGGGCCATTGTGAGAGCCCATTCCCCCCTACCTCCCCCCTACCTCCCCTACCCCACCACTACAAAAAACCTACGGAATATCTATTAAAATCCTCAAAAGGCCATTTAAACCCATTGGTGTAACAGTTAATAGCTATCGGTTCAGTTTGGTATATATGATAATTCTCTTTACAATAGAGTTTAATAGATATACCTTATAATAGTGAGCTGTATATTCACGTATATGATAGACAGAGGGTTGACGTATCTATCTATCTATCTGTCTGTCTGTCTGTCTATCTATCTATCTATCTATCTACACCTGAAGATCTTTGAACGTCTCTAAATGTCCATCTTTCTCCTCCACCTCTGTCTGTCTATCTGTCTGTCTGTCTGTCTGTCTCCCAAACCCAAAACAAGACCAAAATAATTACACGAAAAACTCACACGTAACGAATATAATTAAGTTAAAAAAGGTCAATATATTTCATGGTTCATTAAACGAAATAATTACCTAAATTATAACTCTTTCACCTCGACTCCTGTGTTAACTTGTATCTATAATGAGCTTGGAAAATATAATAATGACTAAAAAAAAAAAAATCTAAAAAGTAAAGGATTTTGTGGGGGTTTTTATGGTTTTATGGACTGGAGGTTTTGTTGTGTGTGTGTGTGTGTGTGTGTGTGTGTGTGTGTGTGTGTGTGTGTGTGTGTGTGATTCTCCTTGCTCGTCTAAGTGGTTCCGTATGCAGGTCTATATGTATGAGTGTGTACGTATGCATAATGTAAGTGTGTACATATATGTATTAATGTATAATAAATGTATAAACACACATGTAGTTGCTTCTCTCCTCACACAAAATATACATAGATAAATTAAATACTGTCCCTTCCTTCTTTCCTCCTACACCCACCGTCACCCTCTCTGCCTCACCCAACCCACCCATCCCACCTTGTTTTCCTCCCTCACCATCCGTCCTCCCACCTATCCCACCCATCTTCATCCTCACCCTCTGCCTCACCCAATCCACCCATCCCATTCCCTTCTCTCCCTTCCATCTCTCCCTCCTCCTCTCACCTCTACCTTACACCTTCAATCATAACTCATAATACCTATTCATTACCTGACCTCACAGGTATACACGTATGCAATATTTCCAACACACACACACACACACACACACACACACACACACACACACACACACACACACACACCACACCACAACACACCTAACCACACCTCCCCCCACCACATCATCATCCCTGAATATCAAATTAAACTAAATGATCTTATAAGCTGTATTGGTGGCACAGAAGGACGCTTATTTATGGCTCTTATTTACTGTGGGACTATAACATCAAATAGGATTCCCCCTCCCCTGAGTCCCCCCCGCCTGAGAACCTGGTGGAGAGAGAGAGAGAGAGAGAGAGAGAGAGAGAGAGACTCTCCCACAAAATCTCCAATCTCTTGTAAACACACACACACACACACACACACACACATATGTATGTATATATAAATGTGTACACAAACGCACAATGCACATTATTAAGCATTGTTGTTCAAAATAATAACCTCATTTGCATATATATTAGACTCAGATTGTACGAGCATTTAAAATCACACACACACACACAAATTGCAATAAAGTTTACATGGAAAATTTTTTACTTACTTATCATCCGGTTCTTCTTCTCTGTTATCCGGCATCCTCACTCCATTATCCGGTACCCTTACTCCAACATCCGTCACCCTTACTCCATTGTCCGGCACCCTCACTCCAACATCCGGCACCCTTACTCCATCATCCGGCATCCTCACTCCATTATCCGTCACCCTTAGTCTATTATACGTAACCCTTACTCCATCATCCGTCACCCTTACTCCAACATCCGTCACCCTTACTTCATTATCCGTCACCCTCAGTCCATCATCCGTCACCCTTACTCCATTATCCGTCACCCTTACTCCATCATCCGTCACCCTTACTTCATTATCCGTCACCCTCAAGTCCATCATCCGTCACCCTTACTCCATTATCCGTCACCCTTACTCCATTATCCGTCACCCTCAGTCTATTATCCGTCACCCTTACTCCATCATCCGTCACCCTTACTCCCTCATCCGTCATCCTTACTCCAACATCCGTCACCCTTACTCCGTTATCCGTCACCCTTACTCTCATCCGTCACCTTACTCCATCATCCGTCTCCTACTCTTATCCGTCACCCTCAGTTCATCATCTATCACCCTTACTCCATTATCCGTCACCCTCAGTTCATCATCCGTCACCCTTACTCCATTATCCGTCATCCGTACTCCAACATCCGTCACCCTTACTCCATCATCCGTCACCCATACTCCATTATCCGTCACCCTTACTCCATTATCCGTCACCCTTACTCCATTATCGTCATCCTACTCCATTATCCGTCACCTCAGTCCATCATCCGTCTTACTCCATCATCCGTCACCCTTACTCCGTCATTCGTCACCCTTACTCCATCATCCGTCACCCTTACTCCATTATCCGTCACCCTTACTCCACCATCCGTCACCCTCAGTCCATCATCCGTCACCTTACTCCATTATCCGTCACCCTCAGTCCATCATCCGTCACCCTTCCATTATCCGTCACCCTTACTCCATTATCCGTCACCCTTACTCCACCATCGTCACCTTACTCCATTATCCGTCATCCTTACTCCATTATCCGTCTGCCACTCCATCATTCGTCACCCTTACTCCATCATCCGTCACCCATACTCCATTATCCGTCATCCTACTCCATTATCCGTCACCCTCAGTCCATCATCCGTCACCCTTACTCCATCATTCGTCACCTTACTCCATTATCCGTCACCCATACTCCATTATCCATCACCCTCAGTCCATCATCCGTCACCCTTACTCCATCATTCGTCACCCTTACTCCATTATCCGTCACCCTCACTCCACCATCCGTCACCCTTACTCCATTATCCGTCATCCTTACTCCATTATCCGTCACCCTTACTCCATCATTCGTCACCCTTACTCCATCATCCGTCACCCTCAGTCCATCATCCGTCACCCTTACTCCATTATCCGTCACCCTACTCCATCATCCGTCACCCTCAGTCCATCATCCGTCACCCTTACTCCATTATCCGTCATCCTTACTCCATTATCCGTCACCCTCAGTCCATCATCCGTCACCCTTACTCCATCATTCGTCACCCTTACTCCATTATCCGTCACCCTTACTCCATCATTCGTCCTCTACTCCATCATCCGTCACCCTCAGTCCACCATCCATCACCCTTATCCATTATCGTCACCCTTACTCCATTATCCGTCACCCTTACTCCATTATCCGTCACCCTTACTCCACCATCCGTCACCTTACTCCATTATCCGTCATCCTTACTCCATTATCCGTCACCCTTACTCCATCATTCGTCCTTACTCCATCATCCGTCACCCATACTCCATTATCCGTCATCCTTACTCATTATCCGTCACCCTCAGTCCATCATCCGTCACCCTTACTCCATCATTCGTCACCACTCCATTATCCATCACCCATACTCCATTATCCGTCACCCTCAGTCCATCATCGTCACCCTTACTCCATCATTCGTCACCCTTACTCCATTATCCGTCACCCTACTCCACCATCCGTCTTTACTCATTATCCGTCATCCTTACTCCATTATCCGTCACCCTTACTCCATCATTCGTCACCCTACTCCATCATCCGTCACCCTCAGTCCATCATCCGTCACCCTTACTCCATTATCCGTCACCTTACTCCATCATCCGTCACCCTCAGTCCATCATCCGTCACCCTTACTCCATTATCGTCATCCTTACTCCATTATCCGTCACCCTCAGTCCATCATCCGTCACCCTTACTCCATCATTCGTCACCCTTACTCCATTATCCGTCACCCTTACTCCATCATTCGTCACCCTTACTCCATCATCCGTCACCCTCAGTCCACCATCCGTCACCCTTACTCCATTATCCGTCACCCTCAGTCCATCATCCGTCACCCTCAGTCCATCATCCGTCACCCTTACTCCATCATCCGTCACCCTTACTCCATCATCCGTCATTAAGACCTCATCACCAACAAGAGTAACAGTTCTATTATCACCATCACTATCACCATCATAACCAACAGCATCACTATCACCATCATCATCAACAACAGCAGCATCATCATCACCATCATCACCATCATCACCATCAACTACAGCAGGTGAAATGAGTCGTGTCTAACAGCAGGAGGAGCGTCAGGAGAGGAACTGACGTCATCATCAAAACAACAACCGCCTTGTGACTGATCAGGTCCTGTAAGGTGATAGAAACATAATTAACAGTGTATTAACCTCTAAGTTACAGTAAATTTATGCGTAGGTAAACTCACAGGTTAATTTAGAAGATATTTACCATGTAGCGGGTATGTCTGATGCCTTAACGTGAGAAAAAGATCAGGGAATATTTACCCCTAAAAGAGTATTAATGTGTTGTAAGGTTGAATGACAAGGTTGTTAGTAAAGGTTGTGTTGTGGAAATATTTATCAGCCAAAAAAAAAAAAGATATTCACGTGATTTTTTTTGTGGTTCTGTCCAGTTGTTGTTGTTTTAAGCTGAATCACTGTCACCAATCAAGAAACTAATTCGACACAGGAGATAGATTGAATGATGAATTCACTCTCAATGATTTTTCTCTCTCCTGATTAACTGTTTTTTCAATTTACGTCAAAAAATAAACGTTGCAAAAAGAGAGAGAGAGAGATATTATTTTTTCACTTAACTGTTGATCATATTCACTGTGTTTGTATTATTGAGGACATAACAGCGTTCAGGTCATGTTTTACGAACTAGTCTAAATAGGTTTGTATTGACCGTAGTGTGTGTGTGTGTGTGTGTGTGTGTGTGTGTGTGTGTGTGTGTGTACGTACAAAGAGTTAACAAACTTAAACTGTATGAATTTTTGTCATTAACGACGTTTATGGTTAAAATACCTATGGGAGGTGGAAATACACCTTCCTATCTGTGGGGGGAGGAGGGAGAGAGGGGAGTGAAATCATATGAGCTCTTGAAAGCATAAAGTAATAGACCTAAAACTCACCTGGGCACATGGAAAGTTCTCAAACACCAGCTTGTAGTCCCAGACAGGTGCAGTGGACAGGTGTAGCGGACAGGTGCAGTGGACAGGTGTAGCGGACAGGTATACAGGTAGTTATTACAGATCTTCCTCACTTGTGCATCCGTCTGTCTGAAAAAAAAATATCCAAGGTTGTCTATCCGTGGCACTCCTTGCTTTGGCACTCCTTGGCACTCTTTGGTACTCCTTGGCACTCCGTGGCACTTCACTGAGCCTCACACACACACACACACACACACACCTGTCACCCTGGTAGTCGTCTCTCAGTTAATGCACTCAAGTATTTCTTAATGTCATCCCCAGAACAACAACAACGACAGCCTTGAGAGGAGGACGAGGAGGAGGAGGAGAGGAGAGAGGTAGAAGAATGCTTATACCTGCATGTTGGCTGAAGAAGCGCTGAGTACAACCTTACTTACGCTTATTGCACAACCTGTCATAACAACCACCACTCACGGATTCCACCACACCTCCACACTACCTCAATCACCCTAACACATTTGCACCTTCTAACATATTTCTAAGATATTAATAATTATTAGTATTTTATTCATTACTTGTCCTAGAGGCTGTGTAATAATAATAATAATAATAATAATAATAATAATAATAATAATAATAATAATAATAACAATAATAATAATAATAAATAAATAATAATAATAATAATAATAATAATAATAATTATAATTATAATTATAATTATAATTATAATAATAATAATAATAATAATAATAATAATAATAATAATAATAATAATAATAATAATAATAATTAATGGTTTATGATTAAGTCGTAAGTCTGAAGGCTGAAAATATACATTGGACAAAAATGACTTATTACATATAAAGACAAGGGGTGGGTGGGTCGTTTAACAAAAGCTTTCATTACTGAAAGAAGAAGGAACATGAATTGAACATACAAATTATTATATTTTATAGTTGATGGCCCGGGCCTGGGCTGGTCATGGAGACACCGGGTGGTGTGGTGTTCACGTGGTGTAGTAACTTATCCGCGGGTGTTGATATGAAGGAGCTCACGTGGTCATGGGGACACGGGGGTGTGGTGTTCACGTGTGTGTGTGTGTGTGTGTGTGTGTGTTAACCTTCGTGGTGGATGGAAACTCTGCTGCCTGTGACGATATTTATTTCTGTCTTTCTTGAGAAATATAAACATTTTGATGTTGCAAAATTGTACTAACCTGTGGGGGCGTGTGGGGTGTGTGGGGCGTGTGTGGGGTGTGTGGGCGGCGTGTGGGGGTGGAGCGAGGTGTGGGGTTAAGTGTGTGTGAGGGCGAATGTGGGGGTGAGTGTGTGGGTATGTGTGGGGGTTGAGTGTGTATGAACATAATGTGTGTGGTGTGGGTGGGTAGTGTGTGTGGGTGTTACATTAAGTCTGGTATTTCTACATAATACACATAAGATTCCTACATATTCTGGATGGCATTTCTACATAACACAGTCGCCATTCCTACAGATCTTATAAACGAATTCGCTACAAATTCAAGCTAACATTCCTACATATATCCGATACCCTTCCTACATAACAGCCTCACACATCCAATCCTACATATTATACACGACTTTGTTATATTCCTACATATAACTGATACATATATCATTGCTACACATACTAATCTGCTGTAGTCGTGTTCTATGCAAGAAAAAGGTGATATATCAAGATTATATTCCCGATATATTCTCACCTGGGGACATGAGGCGGTATCCACACACTTACTCTGACATACCCACACCTGCAGTATATCCACACCCACATTAACCGATATACTTACACCTGTAGTATATCCACACACACACACACACACACACACACACACACACACACACACACACACACACACACACACACACCTACATATGTGAAGAGTTATATCCACACACACATATATTCTCTAAGATATCCACGCAGTTCCACGTACAATATCCACATTAGTGAGAGCTACAATAAGTCCTTCCATCTACCTCAGGCTACAAGGAAAGGAAAATTAATGTTTAGTAATTATTTTAGTTTATTTGATGTATTAC